GGCCCTTGAGGTGGCTTACCTCCTTCTATCAACTCGAGGTGGAGATCATGCTTGGTATGATGGGGCAGCTTGTCTGCTTCCACCTCATCAAACACATCTTGCAGGTGTTGGTATGGCTTTGGTATGTCTGCAGCTGTCACCACCTTGTCTACCCCCACCTCCATCTCGACTCCTTTGTCTGCGCCTGTAGGTACAAAACCAAAGGCCAGGAGTGATGATGGTGGCTCCTCCAACAGCATGAATCCTATGGGTCCATCTTCTAGAGCTGCTCGTAGTATGTGCTCTGCTGAGACAAACTCGTTACCATGAAGGGTTGGTCTCCTCATGGTTAGGTCCCCTGCTCTTGCTGCTTCAGGGGGTCTCCTTGGGGGTCGGTCCTGCTCCTGAGACTTGAACTCCAGCTGGCCCGTATCCCATTGTATGGTGGGTTTGAGCCTCCGTAGCTCAGTGAACCCCAGGATGAGGTCATAGTCCGCAGTGTCGGCCACTGAAGCTTTGACCACACCCAGATTGTGTGTACCAATAGATACCTGCATGCTCGCAGAACTATTGATGGAGAGTTGGTGCCCGGTGACACCATGGATCGATCTTGTTTTTATGGGTTTTGTGGGTATTTGGTACTTACTAATGAAAGAATCTGAGACTATGGACAAACCAGCACTGGTATCAGCTAGTATCCGAGCAGGATGGTCTTGAACCATTCCAGAGAGCTCCAGTACTGCTTTGCCTCCACTGGTAGAGAAACATACTTGACAATCTTGATATATACAGAGTGATGGCGAGGAGGTTTGTAGAGCAATGCATGCCATCAGTGCATCACCCCACTGATGTTTCCCTCATCGTCATCATCATCATGCTCCTCCTCCTCATGGTCGAGGTCCATGGGTTGCTGGTATGAGCTGAGGTCCATGGCCTCGGGGTCACCCATCTCAGTACTGCCTGTGTGGCCATCTCCTGAGTTGGTGGCCTCCTTGAAGGGGTCTGCTGTGGTGACCATAACCTTTGGTCCCATGGGTCAAGAGCTAAGAGGGTCTACCCTCCTGCTGGGGCAGTCTCTGGCCCAATGGCCGATACCCTTGCATACATGACAGGTGTTGATACCTGATGGAGCAGGGCTTCCTTGCTTCAAGGGTTGGGTGGGTTGATGAGGAAGGGGTCGGTTTAGGTTTTGTGTAGTTGCTTGTGCTGGTGATCGAGCTGGATAAGGTTGAGTGGGTTGTCGGATGGGGATCGAACTTTGATTTGGCCGAGACCCAGTTCTTAGTGGAGGTGACGTGGCATTTGGAAGTGAGTGTCTAGCCGAGGACTGCTGTAGTAGCATCCTCTGTCGATCGATCTCCTCAACCTCTCGGTACCACTCCCATCTCTTTCCAGGTGGATTCCTCTCGAACTTCTCCTGTATGCTACGAGTGAGACTACCTCTGAAGAGATCAATCACTAGCTCATTGTCATCTAGGTTGACCTGTCCTTCCAAGTCTCTGAACTGCTCTACATGATGTGTGGCAGCACCAGGAGCATCACTTGTGAGTCTGAGAGCCAACAGCTTGTTGTATGCCTCCATCCTAGCATTGCGTGGGTTGAACTGTTCTGACAGTCGCTCTGTGAAGTAGTGCCAATCATTGAACAACCTTCCTTCTCTAGCTCTATCAATATGGAGCTTGGAGGTCCACCACTCTCTTGCTGTCCCTTCCAGTTGAGCACCCATGTGGTTGATCATCCTAGTCTGCTCATACACCTGGTTGAACTTAAACCATGCTTCGGCTTCTAGAATGAAGATCTCCATGTCTCGGGGATTGAACTTTGGGAAGGGGGTGGCGATGGGCTTTGACCGGTTAAGCTCTGCCATGATGCTGGTGTCCTCCTCATGGTCCAGGGGGTAAGGTTCTGTCCTAGTCCTGCTGTAGGGGTCCACCTTAGTCTTGACATATCTTGGCCCAGTAGGTGAAGCATACTTCTCGTAGTTGATGTCCTCCTGCTCATCCAGGTTGAATGAGACTGATTGTCTTGGTCGTGGAGCCGGAGTAGGAGTATGTGGGTCTCCTATCATAGACTCATCTCCTCCTCCTGCTTGGTCTTCTGAGTGAGAGAGGTCCATTGTCTCCTCCCTGCTCAGTTGAGCTCGTTGTAATCGTTCCTCTCGATGACCCTGTCTGGTAAGCTCTAGCTGTGCTTCCAATAGAGTGAGTAGTCTATCGAGCTTATTGTTGAGGTCTGGGTCCGTCATAGTGATCATGAGGAGCTGCTTGAACAATCCACTCTAATGTCAGGGGTCTCGTGCCTGAAACCCAGGTCAGTCTGTCGAGATACTCGGTGACTATCAAACTGTGTGACAGCTATTGTCTCGGTATTGGTGACTATCAAGTTGTGCAGTGACAGCAGGTGGCATTCGTTGTATATACTATCGTAGGTTTCGGCTGACCTCTGTGGACACTCCGTTCAGGGGTAGCTCGGCATGATCAATATCGATGTTATGATGACACCAAGGTCTGGTGTGAGTGTTGATGATGATGAGGTTGATGGTGTTGGTGATGAGATTGGTGATGTCGATGATAAGGAGGTTGATGGTGTTGGTGATAAGGTTGGTGGCATCAACACGAGTGTCCAGTGTGTTGACTGATGCTTGAGGTGATCCCTGGACCGCAGTGGACTACTGCCTTCGGTTCTATCTTGATCCAGACCGCTAACCTGCTATGGGCGCCTTCAGACGTCAGGTAGTGGTGATACAACACACACACTACGATGAGGAGCAACCTTGATAGATTGCTGCTATGCTGACTGAAACTAATGTATACTTATGCTGAAGTGATAACTAGTTATATGGTGAGTAGAGTGGATGAGGATCCACTCGACCTATGATGATGAGAAAGCATGGTTATATACCTCTACACAGCATCACCAGCGATGCTGCTCCTGCTCTCTCTCTCCAGAGAGTACCTTCTTCATCGAGTACTGCTCAGGGGCCTCTCCTGCTTGGCACCCCTGTGCCTCTTGAGCTGTGTCGACTCCTTCGACACTGCTCCTCCTCCTCATGACCTGGTGTCGACTCCTTCGACACTGCTCCTCCTCCTCATGACCTGGTGTCGACTCCTTCGACACTGCTCCTCCTCCTTTGATCAGTGACAGTTCCTTTGGCTCTTGTCTCTCGAGCCCCTGAGTGGTAACCATCTGCATGCTCCTTGAGCTTGGTCCTCTTCGTGGCTGTGCCTGCTCCTTGAGCTTGGTCCTCCTCGTGGCTGTGCTTGGCCCTCCTTTGCATGTGAGTCCATAGGAGTCCATGGTCTCCATGGAGACTGCACTACGACCATGCTCTCTACTGATATCGACTAGATCTTCGATACCTGTGCTCCTTCCATATGAACCCGTGACTCTCCTGCTTCTTGAGCATCCAGGCCCATGACAAACACCTTGCAGCTGCCAAGCACATATTAAGGTATTTGAAAGGGATGACAGGAATTGGCCTCTCAACAAGGACATCAGGCAGTGAACCATTACTCTCAGGATGGGCAGACAGTAATTGGGCCAGATCATGAGAATGTAGGAGGTCGATGACTGGTTATGTTTTCACAATTAACAGTTTCACATGCAGCTGGGCCTCATGACTTCAACAGATGGTGGCAAACAGTTTGGTAGAAGCCGAATATGTAGCATTGGCAACAGCAGCCAGAAAACTATTATGGGCCTCGATGCTCTTGCGAGAACTGGATCAACCAGTGTTGAAGATGACAGGGATACATGTCAGTGCCAGAACATCAAATATCTATTCCCATGATGGAGAGCTGACCTTTGATCAAGACATACCAGTCCTACACAGCAACTCGTCAGGCACTCAGGTTATAGCAAATGATCCTCAACACTTCAAGAGAATGAAGCATATCGACATAGCTCATTTCTTTCTATGCAACAAAATTGCAAGCAAACGACTTGTGATTGCTCCTGTTCAGAGTTGCAAAAATCTGGCCAACATCCTGACAAAGCCACTTGCTGTGCAAACACTCTCACACATCCAACAACTACTTGGATTGAACATTTCATTGGAGTATGTTGGATTGAGAGGGGGTGCTGAAAATGACAATCCAACGAGGTGGTGAAGAATGATGCAGAGCCGATCTGATCAAAGATCAGATAGGGCCGATTTGCTTGAATTACCAATCCAATGGAAGATTAAGCCAAGTCAATCTAAGGAGAGATTGGGTGCAACACTGTCCCACTTGTTGTCATGACAGATCATGAGATAGTAGTAATCCCACACTAGGCAAGTGCCACTCACATGTATATATACTTCACAGAGAGCACTAGGCTCTCACCATGTTCACTAGTCAATTGAGTATATTTGTTTCTGTCTTTTAGCAGCAGTGACATCATACTTAGACTCTCCCCGATCGCCAGTATCAGGACCCAAATGACTTCAACTTTCATCATATATCACTCCACTTGCTGATTGTCACAAATGATGTCAGAGTCGAGTCGGTCGCCTGAGTAAAACTATGTGACTTCTCTGCCGATCTCACATCGAAGCCAGCTTTGCTCACTCGATTCTGTGCTTGTCTTGCTTGTCTTGGGCTTTTGTTGGAAGATCTAACTCTGATCGACACTTATCGGGAGATATCAGTCCAAGTATCGGTGACATGAGGGAAGATCGTGAGCGGTAGCCTCGAGATTGGTGGGTTGTGGCTGACTGTGCGAGCATGCCACCTAATGAGCAAGTATGACAACGGACGCCAAGCGGTCCTCGATCTGCATCATATCGGCCCGCCCGATCTCCGATCAGATCGACTTTTCCCGATTTGACTTCCGATCGTGCCCTGCTAGATCGTTATCCTAAGCAGCTTTGCCCGACATTGACCTTTCGTTGCGACCAACACAGGCTTGCTTGGCTTGCTCTCCTATCTCGCTCGCTCGACCTGCTCTTCATCTCTTGGCCGCTTCTCTGTCGTCCACCAGCATATGACCGCTCGCCCCAGTGCGACAGCTTCGGCTCAATTGATTGGGATCAGTCGACCATGCTTCCCGCCGAGGTCTCCCGCTCCTCTTCCTCCTCGGATCGCGCAGACAAAGGCAAAGCACGAGCTCGAGACAGCTACGAGGATCACTTCTGTTTCCATGCCTACTCGGCAGCCCAGTCGAGCGCAGCCGGGAACGAAACATCCCAAGCCATTGTTGGCGATAAAACAGACGTCAAGGGAAAAGCAAGGCAGCAAGCGACTAGTGCCAGCGGCTGCTCCCACTGCAACGCCACCAACTCGACAATCGCGACGCACCCTGACCATTCCCAGAGAGCTCCGAGGCATGCAGCTGGTGCCATGTCCATCCAAGGTCGCCAGAGCGAGCAGAGAGCTCATCACCCCGCGTTGCATCACCAAGATGCCACTCTGAAGCGATCCATCCGTCGCCTGGGATCGTCCCCTTCAAGCTCACCTAGCCAGCATCCAGTATCGCTGCCACACATCGAATCGCACTCCTCCACCATATCCCCACAGCGCTCGAGCAGCGGATCAAGGGCTACCTCATCAAGCTCAGTCTTGCCGATTCCGGCTGGAGCAAGCTCTTCTCGACCAAGCACTGCAAACAAGAAGCGACGATCGGATCATCCTAGTACCCCTGTGAGTAATGATGAGAGCAGCAGCAGCAGCATCAGCATTAGGACCAGCATCAGCACCAGCAACCATCCTATCTCACTCGAACCGCCAAGCCGACCGGCTCTCGAGCTGTCTGGTCTCACTGCAGCAGTTCTGTCTCACACCGTGGAGGCTTTGGACAGTCCAGCTTCATGTCCCACCTCAAGCTTGCGCCCCAGCCCCTTACAACCTGAACCTAGCAGCCGGTTCCAGTCGCGCCGAACTTCGCTACTCGTCAACAGCAGTACCAGCAGTACTCGCTTCCTCGATCGCAACGCTACTTTCTGTGATTCGCCGGAGCCCATCAGTCGGCAGACTGAATCCAGTCCGCATATATCCGAGCCTTTGCAGCAGCGTCGCTCTGCTTTCCTTGACGAGGCGAGATCTCATCGCCCCAGCGGCACCATCCCTCGTCGTAGAGGCTTCTACCTTGGCGATGATAACCCTCCCAGCCGTTCTGAGCCGCTCAACGACAATCCTGCACAGTCCTCATCCTCTGACTCTTTCATGTCTGAGTTTGCGAGAGCGGTCGATCTTAGGCTTGGTGCTCGCTTCGACAACATGCAGAGCAGTCATTCTTCTTCTTCCATCCAATCCTCCCCAGCTGACGACAGTCGCCCAGCAGCGTCCTCTTGGAATGTTGCAGCCACGACTTGGCAGCGCAACGCACCGCAGCTGCCCGATGTACGTGCCGCTTCGCCTTTCGCCTTATCTTTCGCTCCTGACGAGTCGGATGATATGGGCTTTGTCGACGCACAACCTCCTGGAGTAGGACGCCAACGTAGCAGACTTGCACCCCTTCCACATCGTGACAGGATGTCTCACACTCAGCGAGACGCTACCCACCCAGGGCGCCGATTCAGGCTTGGAGAGGCCGAGGGTACGCGGGGCATGAGCCTTTCAGGGAGAGCGCTACAGTCTGCGCCTCTACCTGCAACCCAGCCGGAGCGCGCGCAGAACACGGCTCAACAACCAGCTGCACCTCATCCAGGCGCCGGCGACTGGCAAGATTTCCGTCACACACTTCCTTGGCCAAGGTCTCACTTTGGTATTCGGACTCCTGCCGAGTATCGCGATCGAGATGCTCCCGCTGCCACCACTGCTGCTGCTACCGGTGGTCGACAGCGCTTTGAGCCGTTTGCCGAGCCAGAAAGCTCGCATTCTCGACAGCCCTCCGGTTTGTCTAGCTCGATACCCGCTCGTCCGGCGAGCTCATTGCGCCAAGAACGAAGCGAAAACGAATCAGCCCTCCAACATCTCGGCCGTCTCATGAGCCACGATAGCATGCTAGACGAATGGATGGCCTCCAGCGACCTTCATGGGCCATTACTACGCATGCCGATCGAATCAGAAGTCATATCCACCAACCCTGATCTCAGTCATGATCCCTATGCTCCTGCTCCCGCATCCACTTGGTCAGCGGGTATGCTCGATATAACTCCACCGACGCCTCGTTTGGTGTTCGACGCACGCAACTTTGTCGCCGATCAGGATTGGGCCCAACTGAACTCGTACGAAGGCTTGATGCAGTTGGGTGAGAGGCTGGGGGCAGCGCAAGTTTCTGTTCCGCAGAGTTTAATTGATTCCTTACCGACGTGCGAGTATGCGAGATGGCATGGTCGGTCTTGTGCGCAGCACACAGGGGAGAAGGAAGAGTTGCGGCATATGGGAATGGGAATGTGCAAAGGCAAGGGCAAGGGAAAGGGAAAGGGAAAACAAACCGTGCCCAGTGTGGAAACGCCGTTGGAGTTGCACGGAAGGGATACAATGTGTCCCATCTGTAGAGAGGATTATTCGGATTCAGATATAATGATGAGCATCAACAAGTGTTGTCATGCTTTTCATGCCGAGTGTATCAAGGTAAGTACGCTTTGGAGGCTAGTTTGGGTAGAGTGGAAGCGGTTGTGCGCATTGCTGACGATGGTTTGTTTTAATTCCTTTGGATGTGCTACGGGTGTGGTCGTAGACCTGGTTTAAGAGGGCTAAGACTTGTCCATTGTGTCGAGCAGATGCTTTTGATGGGATAAGTTTGCCAAAGTTGTCTTTTCAATCTGCAACAGGGCATAGCTTTCAGCCAGAGGCGAGTGCCAGAGTATCATGGACTCTCGATTTCTCGTAATCTGCAAACCGCTCACACTTTACCATCCGACCAACTTAAACCTTGCATCGAAAGGTACATCTTTCATTCGAGCATATGTAACAGTATCGAAGATGATGGCATTTTCTTCTACCTAGTATTTATTTGTTACCAAGCAGAAACATTCTGGTGAAAGTGATGAAAGACTTGTTTATCAATTCCTAGTTGCTCCCATCTAGTCTTTGCGTCCTGGTCGGGGTTTAATGGCATCCCTTGCAGTTCGGAAAGAAGAGCCTTGAATAGAGATTGCTTTTTGGTGTCGATTGCTTCTTGAAATGCGGTTGAGGTGGGAGGAGGGAGTTTGCAGGTCAAAGTGAGAACAGCAGTTGTTGCTTTTTCGGCGAAATCGAGATCTGTTCTGCCATCCGTATCTCCATCTGGTCCGCAAGGTGGAGGTGCCAAGTCTTGTTGAATTGCCGGATGGCCAGGGGGTAGGAGGGAGGAGATGAGAGTTGTAAGGATTCCAGAGGTGAGCAGGGATCGCGCTACGTTTGGATGCACGATCGAGGTCAGTTGGGTTGCCGGTCCCGTTTCGAGTGGGACTGCTGGTGCCGGGCCTGGTGCCAGTGGTGCGGTTCTATCTGGAGTGGGGGCTAGTGCTGTTGCTGTACTCTTCGTTGTAGCGCTATTTGATCGAGGGATAGAGTCGAAGTCATTGGGATCCTGCAACAAAAGTGCATTGATCAAAAACGCTGTCTTGCGTCGTAAGTTGATATCAGGATCGATCAGTGCATCCCTCAGCACCTTCCATCCATCGATTTTTACAAATTGATGCATAGCCATCGGATTATGCTTCAGTAAACTGCTCAACGCATACATCCCTTTCCGCCTAACCTCTTCTTTTCCGCTTTGCAAAAGATGCACCAACGCTCGGACCGTGTCGTATTGCAACACTGCCACCTGTGCCTTGTCGTTATTTTGAACCGCCGTGCCGACGATCCATGCGGCTGCAGATTGGATCTCAGGTTCGCTCGCACCGAGCAAAGAAATGATAGGCTGCCACATGTTCATGCTGGTGATATTGTTCGCATTGTCGATTTGCTCGATTAACATCTCAAAGTTGTCCAAGGCGGTAACCCGATCGGAAAGGGGTAAGGAAGGCGTGGTTGCAGTGGTGAGTTCCTCGCGCATCATTACAGCTTCGCTTTTGCCCATGATAGCATCGTATAGGCGTGGATCGGAAAGGTCGGGACGGCGACCGGAGGAGATGTCGGATGAAATCTGCTCGATTGATCCGCCTGAGGCGACCGAGGTGGAGTTGGCTAGACCCCATTTTAGGAGCTCTTGGGCGTTTTTATCGTTGGACATTTTTATCGTTGCGAGTGTTGCAAAAAGGCGGGAATACAGTATGTTTGCGGATGGCGAAGATGGAAGGAGCGACGCAAGGAGGGTCGAGTTAGTATAGGCTTCTGCTTGAACGGATGTAGAGGATTAGGAAGCTTCTTGAAGGCTGTAGAACGATTGCCACAAAAATGCAAAATTGTGCTGGAGACTTTCCCCCCGGATGTCGGGTGTCGGGTGTCGGATGCCGGATGTCGGATGTCGGATGTCGGACATAGGATTTCGGATTTGGCGGGATGACTACATCGGGTGTGGAGGCCAAATATCGGGCTCATCTAAAAGTCAGATTTCAGGGTGCAACTTGTTCCCAACACCACCCTTTCCTCCTTCTTCGTTCTTGCTCCTGTCCAACAACAACCCTCGACGATCTCGTTGACTCGAGGCAGCATTCACTGCCGCAAGAAAAGCTTTCCACAATGGCCTCCAGGGTAGTAAACCCCCTGAGCGTCACAACAGCGACCTCGCTCACCAAGCTCGAAAAAAAGTGGACTTGCTCCTTCCACCTCTCCATGCTCGCTTCTCCGCTCCGAAAGTGTATCGTAACATCCAAACTCGTCCCCACTTGTCTTCTTTTCCAACTAAAAGTCGTCACCCTTCCATCCCTGTCCAGCGGGGTGCCACCCAAGACGAACTCCGCACAGGGTGATAGGGAGCGAATAGTAATGCTACCAGATCAAATCCTCCATCCCAAATACATTCCAAAAAGAGTGGGTAAAGGAATATGGCTCACTCTCAACCCGGGCGTCTATGCTCAGTTGGAGAGGAAGGGAATGCATAAGATGCTAAATCCGAAAGCTGGCTTAGTTGGTGGGTTGCAGGAGTTGGTGTGGAGACAGTTGGGGGAAAGGGTGGTGCAGGAGACCGAGTTGGTCTTGGCCTTGTTTGCCGGTAGGAAACGGATCGATCTAATAACCGAGGGGCAGAAGGGAGAGAAGGGGGAGAAGGGGGAGAAGGGGGAGAAGGGGGAGAGCGGGCAGTGTGCAGTTTCCTATACAATACAGATAGGAGAGGGAAGCGGAGAGGGCGAGTTGGGGGCGAATACGATATTTGTGCCCAAGTTCGCGGATGAAGAGCAAAAGAACCGGTTTGAGGAGAGGTTGCGAGCGCTGGCAAAGCTTTCAGGTGTGGAGGGAGCGAAAGCAGAGCAAGTGTATGGTGTTAAGCAGCGTCAAGTCACGGCTCCATTGGCGGTTGCGCTGTATAGGTTACAGCTATGGACTCGATCTCTACCATCACCAGCGAAGCGATCAAACCCATGAAACTTCAAAGCTCCACTGTGTCTTGTGTTGCTGTGTGACGGCCAACCTAAATGTTCTCATTGCACAAGCTTGCTCTTCACAAACGCTTTCATTGCAAAGCAAACATGGATCGTACAAAGCGGCTACTTGGCGGCTAAACATTTTAATTGCTTCAGACAACAAAGGTGTTTACTCGATGTTGTGCTGTTCAATAACATCATCAATCTTCAAAACAGCCCGAACCAACTGTGTTGCCAACAACAACTGCTGTCTCTTACTAACCAGTGGATCGAAAACCCTACAATTCTTCATATCGTTATCACCGGCTCCCATACAATCGATTCCCAGCTTGGGATTTTTCTCGGTCACCTGTCTGGATTTCACCTCTGCCAAGGTCTGGATGGGCGAGTAACCCGAGTTCTCGGCGAGCGCTAAAGGAATAGCATCCAACGCAGAAGCAAATGCACGCATAGCGTATTGTTCCAAAGAAGCAATCTCGTCTGCTGCTTTACTGATCGCCACGCTTGCACAAATTTCCGCAGCTCCTCCTCCATAGACGACGCGGTTGTCAACGACAAGGTTACGAACAACGCAGATGGCATCATGAAGAGCACGTTTGGCCTCGTCGATAATCATCTTGTTGGAACCCCTAACGAAAACGGTAACGGCACGAGGATTGGCACATTCTTCAATGATGAGCATTCGATCTCGTGTTGTTCCAAAGCCTACCTCTCTCACCAGACCCGCAGTACCCAACTTTTCCGCCGAAAGATCTTGGAAGCGGGGAACGATCCTTCCGTTGGTGGCGATGGCGATGAGTTCGAGCTCTGGTCCACCGACCCAACGAACCGCGGGTAGTTGGTGTTGAAGCAAAAGATGGTTGGCTTCGTCGTCAAATCCCCATTGACAGACTACGAGGTTTGCACCGCAATCCTTGACCTGTTGGATCATTTCTTCAAACTTTGAACGTTCGTAGTCTTGAAGTTTACGGTATTCTTCGACCGAGGTGATGTCGAGCTTGTGCTTGGTTTTAGGACGAGGTGGTTCAAAGGGACATGTTAGAATGGCGATCTTGGCGTCTTTAACAACCCGAGGCATCTGGGGGTGAGACATGTCTTTGTCGATCACAACACCTTGGACTAGGCTTGTATCTTGCAATGCACCTCCCACCTTACCGTCCACCTTGATCAACTCGAAATCAACATCTCGACGCTGCAAATCAGCAACAGAGAGAACAGAGTCGACAGCGATCTTGGCAAACTTATCCGAGGCCTTGGAAACGATCTTGGACCCAAGACAAGTTTTGGCAACTTTCATAAGTTCATCGATGTTGTCACGGTCGAACTGGACCTTGTCTGCAACTCTTTCAAGTTCGGTAACGGCGAGGTTGCAAGCTCGTTCAAATCCATCAGCGATTCGGATGGGATGAATGCCTCGGTCGAGAAGAGATTCGGATTGTTCGAGCAATGCACCGGCAAGAACGACGACTCCGGTTGTACCATCACCGATCTCGTCATCTTGAGATTTGGAAAGCTCGACAAGAAGCTTAGCAACCTGGTGGTCGAGCTCCATGTTGTTCATGATGGTAGCACCATCGTTGGTGACTTGAATGTCTCCATCGGGACTGATGAGGATTTTGTCGAGGCCTCGGGGACCGAGGGAAGTTTTGAGGATGTTGGCAACCGTTTTGGCCGCAGCAATGTGATTCTTGATGGCTTGAATACCGTTGGCGCGGGTCTTTTTGCCTTGTTCACGGACGACGATAAAAGGTCGACCGTATTCGTCTTGGGCGTATGCGATTTGTGGTTCCGCCATGGTTGGTGTTACACTGCAGCTATGTCGTCCCAGATGTGAGAGTGGGCGAGATAGATGGTTGGGCAGAAGATGGTAACGAGAGCGAGGCTGAGCTGTGCGGCTTTGAGCAGATCTTCTCGAAATGCGCCCGCAAACACACACACACACACACGCTCTTTCTTTCGCCCGAGAGAGAGAGAGAAAGAGAGGCGCGCTTTCTTCTTCTTCTTCTCAAACTGCGGAGCAAAAAGTGTTGCTTGGGGCGCGCTTGCTTCTTCGATCTTCCACCGAGTTGAGCATTGTTAGGTCGTCACCACTCATCCGATCCTTCATCATTATGTCAGCATTACTCACACGACGCGCTCGAATTCTTGATGAATCTGTGGCTTTCGTCGGCTGTTGAAATTCCGGCGTATCGCGCGAGCAAACGCAAAACCTGAATTCCAACTTGAATTCCAACTTGCAATTCGAACTTGAATTCGAACTTGAATTTGAACTTGAATTTGAACTTGAATTTGAACTTGAATTTGAACTTGAATTTGAACTTGGAATTCTATCTTTCTCGGTCACGTGGGCCTTCGCTCACCCGATTGAAACAGGCCCATCTATCCATTCGTACGATAATACTTTCAGAGCAAGTTTTGGCTTTTTGCACACATGCGGAAGATCTGATCTGATTCCCTTTCGACTTGGACTTGGGCTTTCCTTGTTACCATCACCGTCATCTCGGTCCATTTCCCCCTCCATTGCCTTCTCGCAAGTGATCCTTCCCGCAAGTGATCCTTCCCGCAAGTGATCCTTCTCGCTCAAGATGGTTTCGAGCATAATCTATGATACCCTTGTCTTCGCCCTCCCACAAAACATCAAATCTCAAACCCCCATCCACCTTCTGGCATGGATCCCTGGCAAATCTCCCATTTCCACCGTCCCTTCCCTTATAGCCGCTGTAACCACCTACCTCGCTGTCATCTTCGGTGGACGAGAACTGATGAAGAACCGAGCGCCGCTAACCACTAGCATCAAACTTGCCTTTTTACTCCACAATCTCGCGCTCACCTTGGGCTCGGGTCTCCTTCTTGCACTGATGCTCGAAGAGATCATCCCCATCGTCCGTCGTAATGGCTTCTACTACGGTATCTGCGGTGAAGGTGCTTGGACTATGAAACTGGAAACCTACTACATGATCAACTATTACTTTAAATATTGGGAGCTTATCGACACGGTTTTCCTCGTCCTCAAGAAGAAGCCACTTGCTTTCCTTCATGTTTATCATCACTCGGCCACCGCTGTTCTGTGTTTCTCCCAGCTTCACGGAAAAACGTCGGTTTCGTGGGTCGTCATCTGCCTTAATCTGGCGGTACACGTGTTGATGTACTTCTACTACGCCTTGACCTCGCTCAAGATCCCCTGCCCTTGGAAGAAGAGCGTTACCACCGCCCAGATCACCCAGTTCGTGCTGGATATCTTTGTCATCTATTACGCTTCCTGGAATCACGTAGCCTCGACCTATCTGCCCAGCCTCCCGCACCGAGGCTCATGCGCCGGTAAAGAGCACGCCGCTATCTCAGGCGTCGTCTGCATCACCAGCTACCTGTTCCTCTTCATCGCCTTCTATCAGAAGACGTACGCAGGGAAAAGAGCTCATGGCAAGTCGGCAAAGACGATTACTGCAAAACAAAAGGCAGGCACAGCGAATGGCAAAGCCAATGGCAACGCTCTCTGAATTCAAATCGGCTTTACACCTCAACATAGATATGCTACCGGGTGTCGGGCAAGAGCGCCATCTCTGTATTCTGATATCTGAAACTCCTTTCTCCTCTTATTCCGCTCTTCCTCCGGGCATGTGCTCCCGTGGGTGCGGCGTTTCCCCTCACCCTCCCCTTATGCTCCAGGCATGCTGCTCAATTCTCTCTTTATTCCAAGGTGGAACTCACCGCAAATATGCTATTTATAAAAGCTACCTTTCTTGGACAAAACAGCCTGACGATACGGTGTGATCTGTGCTTTGAAATAGCAACCTGTGATTCAAATCAGCTTCTCCACTCCATCTCTCACCACCATTCTGCAAGGCAAGGCGTCCCGCGCTCAAACCAGGCTCACAACGCGCCAACCGAGAGCAACTAGAATCGCAGGTATCAAAACCAACCGCATATATTGTAGCAAATCGCCCATGCTGATCAGAGGGAAGGGCATCTTTGTTAGGAAGCATATGCATATTCTTACAAGAAATAATCGGGAACTCTTCTGGAAACCAACGGTTCTCCTGCTCTGGGAGCGGGATCGAATTGCAAGAAAGTATATTTCAAATTTTCATCAATCTCCATAATGGCAGCTTGATTACCACATCTGTAGCAATAGTTGGGAGCTGAAAAGATGGTCACCACGTTTCTCTCCTGAGACCAATTGAAGCCATCCATAACCAACTGATGAGCCCTAGCTACGAGTGTCAAACCATTATTATGGTTGAATGCCTCCGAGATGTCCTGACCGAAAGTGTAACCTGCACCACGAGGTGAGATTCCCCATCCACAACGATCGTCTGGGTCAGACCAAAGAAGATCGCACATGGGACCTTCATGCGGAACCTCTTGGATTCGGTCGATGGATCGAATGTGGTCGAGCGTGTCGATGGAAGGCGAGAGGCCACCGTGAAGACAGAAAATTTGATCGTCGATAAGAGCGGTTAGTGGGAGACAGTCGAATAGATCGGTAAAGTATTTCCAGACATTAGCGTTGCCGTATTTTCGCAAGCACTCGTCGTAGAAGCCGTAAACCTGGGTGATTTGTCGAGATTCATGGTTGCCACGAAGGATGGTAACCCGATCGCGATATCGGACTTTGAGAGCAACGAGAAGGGTGACTGTTTCCACGGAATAGTAACCTCGATCGACATAGTCACCCATGAAGAGGTAGTTTGTGTCGGGAGAGTTACCACCAATGCGGAAAAGTTCTGAAAGATCGTGGAATTGACCATGGATATCACCACAGACTGTGACGGGACAACGGACGGGTTGAACGTTGGATTCGCCAAGGAGGATAGCGCGTGCTTTGTCACAGAGACGCTTGATATCGTTCTCGGAGAGCTGCTTGCACTCGCTGAGATGCGCAATCCACGCGTCTTGCTCGGTGATATCGACCATGTTAGCAAACAAGAACAAGAAGAACAAGCCTAGCAGATACTCTGGTGGTTGGAGCGGGCAGAGAGGATGTGCTGGAGAAAGACGGAGAGAAAGGGGTTCCAAGATTTGTCTGGATGCCAAGTATAGCACTGCAAGCAAGACAAAGAGGGTATAGATGCAAAAAGTGTTGCCGCGTTGCTGATGGACGGCGAGATTGGGTATACTAGCCGGTGAAGAAAAGAGCAAGAATGTGCGATTTGCGAAAAAGGAAAAAAAGAAAAAGCTGAGTGGTTGTTGTGCCAGACTATCTTGGGAACCAATATCTATGTATGTGGACAAGACGAGATAGATAAGCCTCGCTGTTGTTGTTGTTGTTGTTGTTGTTGTCGAGACTGGGCTGCCAGTAACGAGGTGATTTTGTGAGTCGTAGCGGATGCGAATGTTACTGATAACGATGGAGACGCGCGGAAGAGGTGATGGTGGTAGTGATGATGGTGGTGAAAGCGAAGGAAAAGCGTGTGGCGAAAAGAAGCGAGAAAACGAGGGAGCAATTGCAGTATTACTTTCCAAAATGCGGCCAAAGAACAGTTACGCCAGAGGCAGCCAAGAGTCACCGCCGTCAGACACTAATGAATTTGTATTGACCAACCTGGGAGAGCAATACAAATTTCAGCCCTCCTCTTCGTGAGAAACCCTTCAAAATCCGGAAGATTAAAATATACAGAATAACGGATTTCAGAAGCCGCTTTCCAATTTCATTTTCAGACGCGGTTGAACAGTCGCTGGAAGGAAGCGCGAAAAGGCCAAATACTATCGACTCAAATACTATTGAATCTAATACTATCGACTCAAATACTATTGAATCAAATACCATCGACTCAAATACTATTGAATCTAATACTATCGACTCAAATACTATTGAATCTAATACTATCGACTCAAATACTATTGAATCAAATACCATCGACTCAAATACTATTGAATCTAATACCATTGACTCAAATACTATTGAATCTAATACTATCGACTCAAATACTATTGAATCAAATACTATTGAATCAATCGATCGATCACGCTTCACTTTGCTGTCACATCTCTCACAACCTAACATTCCAAATTGGATTCTCCACTATATTCAGCCTCATTTTCCAAAAAGAATTCAGTTACACTGATCTAACAGCTATCGCTGCTTTTTGTCAACAAATCACCAACTCGATTCGACACCATCGCATCGCATTTCTACAGCAATCCAACTCTTCCTCACCATCACCATCACCATCACCATCACTCCATATACCCTATCAACACAATGTCTCTACTACGAACAGCCGTAACCGGCGCCTCTCGCGCTGCGCTCCGCACCACCTCGGCAGCTCCGCTTCGACAATTCTCCACCTCACCAATCAAGGCAGCAGCTCAGCAATCCAAGGATCCTCAACTCGGAGACTACCCGGACCTTGCTTTTATTAGCCTGCAGCAACGCAAACACTCGCCCAAGTGGTGGGATCCACAAGAGAAGCGTAACTTTGGCGAAACGGTAAGCTTCGCTCCCTCCTCCGCCTACCCTGTAGTCCTAGGCTACAGGTTTTGGAAAAGGGAGAGCTGACACTATTTTGGTTTTGCATTGACTGGGTTGCAATTGCGTTTTGGATGGATGATAGCCTCACGAGCAAGACGATGTGCTTTCAGTATGGGCTCCTGATGTGCACTCTATTCCTGCTTCGTCTGCGTTGAAGCAGTTTATGGTTGCTGTTGGTGTTGTTGTGATTTTTAGCTCGACCGTTTATGCGGCTACTCCGGAGAAGCCGGCTCTTCCAAGGGTGAGTTTCCCCCCTTCTAACCTCGCAGAACTCACTGATACAGCAGTGAGCTGACACCTGATCTTTTGTTCGCCGATCGCTTATCTGGCAGACCTACCCTCGAGATGGCTTGGCTGCTGAATTGGGAGGCAAACAGGTAGCTGCTCCTAAAGAAGGCGCTTTCAGTGGAGAGGCAGAAGATGACAATGACGACGAGTAATCTTCTCCAATCAACCTACAGTATTATTCTCAGCTTCTTTCTTTCTGCAATATACATCATTCGATCAGCAAAACACTATGCGCTCCCATTTCCATCTCTCTTGGCATAAATCGATTCGATTCAGTCTTGGAGTTTGGCTAAGCAGCTGCTGTGAATGTATGCAGCTTGCAAGCAAACGTCTGCTTCTCCTTTCGCTACCATGTTCCACCGCCTTGCGTCGGATCAGTTTCAGCTCCGATTCTTTTGTGAAAGGTTGGGTGAGAATAAACTTATGAGTGTGAGTGCCAGACCAAATCCCATCAGGAGATGATGGTGGAGAGTGGTGGAGAGTGGTGGAGAGTGGTGGAGAGTGGTAGAGAGATTGCCCTGCAGGCTTTTCGGCGATCTTTTCAGGCTTGCACAGTGGGTTGCTTGAGTAACTCTTCGATGAGCCTAATCATGAGGTCGGCTTTCTGTGTAGGTCCTTTTGTTCAAACAGAGGGCAATCAAAGAACATGGACATCAGAAAGCTAGCTTTTTGTGCTTTCAAGAGTTGAGGCTAATGTACAAGTGTTTTGCATGCGGCCTCGAGAGCCATAAGGATCGAGAGTGTCATGGTGATGGTATGTGGGAAGCCAAGAGAGTGTCCGTGTGTAGGATGCCTTCGTGATGGCCGGTGTGAGAAGGCTATGTTGAGGCGGCGACTCTTCGTGATGCTGATTCTTGATTTCGCTTGAAGTTGATGCTCAATGCCTGTCATGATCGTATCAAAATGACAAGAGGAACGTCAGCATCGTGTCTGGAATATCGCCAACCGGCGTCCGAAGCGTAACTAGGTCAAGCAGGAGCAGGCAACTTACATGGTACAAAACGATCAAGATCATTGTCAAACTGCCAAGCCAGTTGGCTAGCGCTGAAAGTGTCACGTCGCTGATCATCCTCACTGGGCTCCTGACTGGTGGTGATGAGACTGGTGGTGATGAGACTGGTGGTGATGAGACTGTTGGTGATGAGACTGTTGGTGATGAGACTGTTGGTGATGAGACTGGATGCGAACGAGGAATAGTGTCAAGCGAGGGAGTGCGGTGGCATGTGCGTGGAGAGAGGATGAGCTGGAACTCGGAAGTTCATCTTTCGGCCGATACATTTTTTTCAGCTTGGCTTTGGACCCTGGATTCCACTTTCTTCCTTTTACCCCACCTACCACCAACAACACCATCCGAAAGCTGATCAGCTCCATACCACTGTCGCAATGTTCGGCCGGCGCAAAAGCCTCACAAAAGCCTCACGCATACGAGCACGCAAACGATCAGCCAAAATCCGACCTTCTTTCCTACTGAAACACTACATCCTATTCAACTCTCTTACTCGTTATACCCACCCTTGCCCTCCTCGCTCAACTTCCTCCAAACGCACCCCTTGCTCCTACACCGCACAATCTTGCCGCGCCAAAGCTTCAAGACTACAAGAACGATACCCAATCGGCGACATATGGTCCTACTCTTGGCCTAAACCATTCCCACAACTTCCAGCAACAGCACAAGAACCACATCGAGTAGTAGAGGAGCTAGTAGCTCAGATCGTCAAAGACACTTTCGATGCAGAGTATACCAAGTTTCGCTCCCCAAAATGGGCGAGTGAACATAGAATCACAAAGGAGCATCTGGAGAAGATCCTAGTCGATCAGAAGGAGGTAGAGGAGAGTGCCAAGGCTGCGAAAATGCTCGTCAATACTGCGTTGAACAGGTTTTTCGTGGGTCTCAAGAAGGGTGCGATTGGCAAGTCTACTAGATCGCACAAGGCGATGCAGCAGGACTCGATGGCACCATCGAGTCTTCAAGCGCAACCTCTTGCTGCCCCAACAGCGGAAACCACTGCGATGGAGGATGCGGGGACGCTTGAAGATCTAGATGCAGAGCTGCAAGGCGAGCTTTGGGAGGATGGAGAAAGATATACGCTAGAATGCAAACGCTTGCTGGACTATATGCAGTCAACGGCAGGAAGCTCAAAGACTGCGCAGTGGAGGAACTGGCACTTGCTGGATGCGGTGAAGAAGACAAGAGAGCGTTGTGAGGAGTTGTTCGGTCATGAAGATCGCTGAGCGCTTCCTCCTGGGATGGTAGGCATACGGACCACATCATTTTTGTACTTTTACTGTAACATCGTCTCAATTCACATCTCAAGAAGAAAGATACCGTGCGATAGAATCTTGGGCCGACGAATCAGCTTAATTTCATTTACGCGACGACGCGACGCGACGCGACGAGACGAGACGCGACGCGGATCCCAGAGACCAACACTTTCTCACACTTTTGTGGCCATATCTTCTCTTTCCTCAGGCTTCTACACCGTTTCCCTCTACATACAACGGCTCATCTTAGGGCAGAGGCACGATCACCATTGAAATCGCTGCTGAAGGACAAAGTCGCCTGCTCAGTAGGGAAGCTTTCAAGATGGCCGTTGCACCAAAGCGATCTCGTCGTCAACGTCAGGCGTCCACCTCTTCCTCCGCTGGCCAAGATAGCGACTTTTCCCCTTTATCCTCTTCCTCTTTATCCTCTTCCTCGCCTCCGCCATCAAAAGCTGTAAAGAAGGCCAGGTGCACCTCTGCCGCATCTTTGTCGAAGTTCTCGCAGATCTTCGACCCCCCGTCTACCACTCCACCAGGGACAGCACCACTACCAGCACGAAGCCACACTTCCTCATACCACCGCCCTCTGCTCCTCCTTGCCTCACACGAGTCTGGCATTTCTTCCCTTCTGTCATGGTTCAGCAGGGTCTGTAGTAAACGAGAGATGCCATGGCGATCCGCCTTTATCGATCCTTGCAACTTTTCTTCAGCTGAAGAGCTGCGAGAAGCACTTGAAAGCCGAGCCTATCAAGTGTGGATATCGGAAATCATGCTTCAACAAACGCGGGTAGAAACGGTTAAATCCTTTTGGCTCAGTTGGATGTCTAAATGGCCCACTATCCACTCGCTTGCTTCTGCGTGCCCGGAAGAAGTTGTTTCTGCCTGGCGTGGATTAGGCTACTATTCTCGAGCGACTCGAATCCACACTGCTGCTAAAAAAGTAGTCTCTGACCCAGATATGAACGGTTTACTCCCATCCCACCCGGCAGATCTAGAAAAAAACATCCCCGGTGTTGGCCCTTACACAGCAGGAGCAATATCGAGCATCGTTTTCGGCCAACCTGTTCCGATTTTAGATGGCAATGTGGCAAGGGTGTTGTCGAGACAGTTGGCATTGTATGCCAATCCAAAGTCGAAGGTGACAACGGATTTACTTTGGACTGCAGCCCATGTGTTGGTGAAGAAAGCTTTCCAGCTTCGAGGCGGCAAGGGGCAAACAGCGGGCGAGTGGAATCAAGCGTTGATGGAATTGGGTAGTACTATTTGTACTCCCCAAAAGCCCCGTTGTGCGGATTGTCCCATAAGAGCCAGTTGTAGAGCCTATGCCGAGGCAGAAGCTAGCGTAAAAAGCGAGAAGCACGAGGTAGCGTTGATGGACCTTGAAGATCTTTGTTCGATCTGCAAACCCTTGCCTTTCCAAGAAGAAGCTTGCCAAGAAGAAGCTTGCCAAGAAGAAGAAGAAAAGCAAAGGGTGGCAGTGAAGAAGATGGGTCAAGCTACATTATCTTTCGCCTCCTCCCCTTCTGCGTCTAAAGCAAAAGCAAAGCCGGATGAAGATAGGCAAAGATTGCAAGGGACGATAGACAAACATATCCGAAACTTCCCATTGAAACTGGAAAAGAAAAGCATTCGTCAAGAAGAATGTCTCGTCTGCATCATCCATCGTCCAGGCGAACGAGAGGAATATCTACTGGAACAGCGTCCAGCGACAGGTTTGCTAGCAAGCATGTGGCAGTTCCCCTGCCTTACACTCTCCACCACCCACGCAGCCACCACGGATGAGAAAAAACATGTATTCCCTTGCACACCTTTACCCAACCTCATAGATACCTTCATAAACTCACTACTAGACGCAAACACCAAGGGGAAGTGGGAAAAAAACAAAGTGGCAAGCATAACACATACCTTGTCGCATCTCAACCTTACAATGCATGTCCACAAAATCTCACTTGCTCCTCCTGCAGACAAGATCGAGATAAATGGCAATGCGGAGAAGAAGCAAAGTAAGAAGAGAAAACAGAATCAGACAGACAAAGATGTGCGCGACACAAGCAAGAAGAACAACTTTGGTAGTAAGTTGGGCGATAAAGCTCTAAGCAGATGGGCTAGTGCGGAGCAAGTCGAAGCTGAAAGCATGGGTACTGGAATGCGTAATTGCTGGCTTGCATTGCAGACACAGCAGTCTTCAGGTCTGAGTAAGAGGGCCAAATCAACAGGCAAGAAGAGCAAGAGGTGAAATGCGGAAACAACCGCCTTGCAACAGAATCACAAAAACCAAAGCGCTGACTCTGTGACGAGAGTGTGTGGTTCGAGAAGGATGAGATTCTGCATACAAGTACATGTGTAGTGCGTCGAAGCATGATAGAATGCTTTGCGTGGAAGTTTAATGAGCTGAGCAGGTCCAAGAGCGGGTGATTAAGCGTCGTTGCTTGCTGTCGAAAGGATGCCTTTTGTGAGTTGCTCTGGGACTGGAGCTGGGAAGCCATCGTGCAACAAAGAGGGCAGGATGAAGCTCTGGAAGAACTTGGACGCCTCTGCTGCGCCCTTTTGATGGTAGATTGCACCAACGACAGCCTCTACAGCGACACCTCTGACCTTGAACAAGCCCGTTTCTCTTGCTCCAAGTTGACCGTCAGACACGGCTGGTGTCCATCGCATGATTTTTTCAAGCCCAAGCTCCTTTCCAACCCTGTGGCCAAGTCTGTGTGTGGTCAAAATTGAGTCAACACCATTTGGCGATTCGAGCAGGCGGCTGATGTAGTTGTGGGCAGCATCACCTTTCGTAAGCGTTTGCAAGCGCGAGTGCAGGAAAAGCGTGGTGAAAAGCTTCAAGGTTCTGCGTCCTACAAATGCAAGCCGACGATTGTGCCCTTCGCGCGCATTGAAATAGGACTCGTGTGTAAGGGCTCGAAGTGCAATCTCTGCGTTGCCGCCGAGGAGATCGGAGCATGTGGAGGAGAATGGTGCCGAGGAAAAGTGAGAGAGGACGCTGTCGCCGGTGACACTGGTGCCGAGAGCGGGAGACGAACGGAAATCGCTTCCTCTTCCGGGAATCGAGGATGCTGATGATGATGCTGACGCTGATGTAAAAATAGAGGACAAAGCTGACATGGATGCAGCCGATGCGAAAGTGCGAGCCTGCGACAAGCAAGTTGAAGGAGAGGCTGAGGAGCTGGATGCGGATGCGGATGCGGATGACGCAAGAGCAGCAGTGCGACTGGAAGAGCTGCTACTAGGGGTATATAGGCTGCGAGTCAGCTCTCGAAGCGGAGCCTGAACACGTCGAGCTGCCATGATGCTGGACTGTACGGGAGGAGGAATGCTGAAGGCCGAACGATGCAGGGATGAGACGCCAAGTCTGTCAGAGCCAGCTGGATCGTAAGCCAGCGACGGTAGGGGACGTTCGTTAAGCGCTGCGGATGCCACTGACTGCGCCAGCGAGGAGATAGAAGATAAGAGGGCGAACAAGTTATGGTGTGGAAAGGAGCACAAGGAGCGATAAGAAGTTGATGTTCTTTGGCAATTTTTACTTTCTTCTTGACAAATTCGGCTCCGAATTCCTTTCGCCTCGGATTGGCTGGGCTAATTCTGCCTGAGAGGTATGGCATATATGTGTCGTTAGCAGTCTCTCTCGTGCGAATGTTTTTAGCAATCTCTCTCGTGCGAATGAATTTTTAGAAATCGCGCTGCTTTTTAACAAAAGATAAGGAAAATTTGCAGGTGAGCAGTGCTTGAGTTGCTGGCTTGACCGCCGTCTGCTGCCTTGTTTCCCTGCTCAGCATTTCAGCATCCTTGCTCGACACCCTCCATCGTCTTTCTCGGCATTTACCTATCACGCTGAGCCTATAAAAGCACCCCCCTCCATCTCACTCGTACAATATCCAGCATGGCTCCTGTTGCCGCACCTTCCACAGGCCAGCCTGCTGATGGCAAGCCCATGAACTGGGCAGACGAGTTCGACGAGGATCTCGCTCCAGGCGAGGCCGCTCACATTGAGGAGCGCGACGAGGGAAACGGTGTCAAGGTTGTCATTCAGTACCGCACCAACGCTGATGGAAACAAGGTCAAGGTAGGTTCATCATCGCCCAGGGTCTTGCTATGTTTGCATCAGAGCTATCGCTAACACAGCCCTATTCGTTTCCTATGCTGTTGCCCCCCACAATAGGTCACACGAAGGATCAAGAGGACACTTGTAAAGTCCAAGGTCAACCATCAAGTCGCCCAACGCAAGAACTGGACAAAGTTCGGCCAGGAAAAGGGCAAAGCCCCCGGTCCTCACTCTGCTACCACCACGATCGGCGAGAACGTGATTCTCAAGATGTCTGCCGGCAACAACAAAACTGCCGAACCCGAGGTTGATGACATGGACAAGGTGCGTCAGCAGCTCGCCAACAAGCGTATCGTCTGTCGTCTTTGCAAAGGCGACCATTTCACCACAAAATGTCCTTACAAGGATACTCTCGAGGCGATTCCCGGTGCTGGTGCCGACACTCCCGAGGGCGGCGAAGGCTCGATGACTCCTCTTGCTGCTATGGACCCCACCAACCCTGCCGTTGCAGCAAGTACAGGCGGCAAATACGTTCCACCCAGCATGCGCGGTGGCACAAAGGGCCCAGGAGACAAGATGGGCGGTCTCGCTGGAATGTCAAGAGACGAATTCCCCACCCTCCGTGTCACCAACCTCAGCGAAGATGCCGACGACGAGGACCTCAGGGTTCTCTTCGGCCGCTTCGGTCGTGTTGTCCGTGTCTACGTCGGTCGCGACCGCGAGACTGGTATCTGCAAGGGTTACGCTTTCGTCAGCTTCGAAGACAGGGAAGAAGCCGACCGCGCAAGGCAAAGGATCGACGGTCGTGGTTACGACAACCTCATTCTCAGTTGTCAGTGGTCGCTTCCGCGTGGCGAGCGTCCTTGATTGCCTCTCTGCCCTCCATCAAAAGAGGCGACCAAGCCGCACGACACGTTGCCACTGTGTCGCACATGGCTTGGCCTCGAGTTTGTTCACGCATGTACTGTACATTTACGTCCGCTCTAGGCATTTCGGTTCAGCAAGCCTAGTTTGTCTATCCTTCCATCTTAAGAAGGCTCTTGTGCCTCGGTTTCTTGCTCACACAGGATGCACAAGCTGCAACAAGACTGTGCGGGATATCAGATTGAAATCGACATGAGACAACTGGAAAGGGGCAAAAGTGAATCCAACCACTGAAACAAAATGCCTCGACATGCGCAGGCTGACATGGACTGCGTCTAAGTGTTGAACCTGTAAGAAAGCAGATTGTACCAACGTACACGGACAAGAAAAGTCAGTAAGGTTTTCAAGAGTGACAGAAACAAGGGTTGCAGCTGCCTGGTGCGATATTGCTACTTACTTTCGGTTCTGGTTGGGTCCAAAGAGATCCAAGCGGATTTCGGGAAGCATGCGGTCTTCAAGCAGGCGAAGGCGCTCTTCGAGTGTGTTGTTGATCGTAATCTTTCCAGCGTGACCCGAGAGTGCGACTCCACCGGCACTGTCCTTGTTGAGACCTTGCTGTACTGTGACGCTTGCATCCTTGCCCGACTTGTCCTTGAAATCCTTCTCGGCTTGCTTGGCGGCCTCCTGCGCCAACTGCACATCGTTTGACCTGACTGTGACTGTAACCTTGGACTCCATCAATTGCAACAAGCCCTGTGGTTTTACATTGTTCAAAAGAGATATCGCTTGTCAGCCTCTCAGACACGGCGTGGCTGCTATGAGCCAAGCATCTGGCAATCCCAAACCTACCTGGAGAATAAGCTTGCTGAGAAGCTTCTTGTACTTTTCCTGCTCCTTGGCAATGTCGTTGAGCTTGTCTCGTGCAGCATCAAACAGGGATTGCAGGTGCTGTTCACGAGTCTGAAGGATTTTCAATCGTGACTTGTTTGTTTGGTTCGACTGAGCACTGTAGATGGCAATTGACCGAGGTGGCGAATGGGAGGTGGCGAATGGAAGGTGGCGAATGGAAGGTGGCGAATGGGAGGTGACGAATGGGAGGTGAGAGCGTGTCAAATACAGAGTACGATCTTCTGCTGGTCGGAAGAGATTCCTACTTACATCTTCTGAGCGACCTCGGCCTGCTTGATCTTCTTTTCATACTGCCAGTCGATGTTGATGGCTTCTTGACGGACGATCTTGGCCTTTTCGATGGCGAACTCTTCGTCGGCCTTGATCTGAATCTCGCGAGCCTTCTCAACTGCTTCTTGTTTGATGAAAGCCACCTGAAAGCATGTGGAAAGGAGAAGAGAGGTGAACATTACGCCCACAAAGCTGCACGGATCCGTATGACTGATCTACCTACCATCTTCTTCATCTCGGAGAGAACCTCGTCATCGTTCATCGGACGACTCGACATGATGTATATGTTCCGGTTGCTGATGGCCGGCTACTGCTTTTTGTAGAAGGATTCGACAGCTGTCGACCTGATCCGATCTTCTGATTGCTTGCTGTTGGTATGGTGGACAGATAAAGGTGTCTAGCGGCGAGCAATATGTGGGATTGCAGTGGTAGAAAGGACGATGCAACTTGCTTAGGGGTTGACGATGTCTAAGCGCTCTTGTACAACTACGCACGTGCCAAGAGGAATCCACTTTCCGCTGACAAAGACTGAGCTAAGCAGTTCCTCTCATTTTTTTATTTTTTTTATTTTTGGACCGAGTGTGAGATTCTGCTCTTCTCCACTAACAAAATGCCGTGTTCGGATCCGAACAAAGTGGAGGAAGAATCGCGCGTTCTCAGTGTTTGCTGCCGCAACAAATAAAACACACAAAAGACACACAAAACAACATCAATCCGCTCTCTCTCCCCTCATCATCGAACCTTGGCTTCCTTTCACTTCTTTGCTCATCTGATACTCTCTTCTCAGCTGCTGTTCCCGCCATTCGCTTTGATGGCAAGGGACAGGTCGGCGTATATACCCAAAGACACACTCTTGCCACACTCCTCGCAATCCGACCTTGCCGCTGAGCAACACTAGTGTGTACCAAGTCCTCACCATGGCAAAAGACGACTCCAAGCAAGCAGCGAAAGCTGACCCCGAGCAGCATAGCGAGCCACAACAACCCTCCTCTCCGCAGCAGCAGCAATCTTCCTCTCCTCAGCCTACTTCGCCCGCAACGACCTCTTCCGCAAGAGCCGTCACTTTCAAGGCATCCGCTCAGCCAGCTGAAGAAGCCGTATCTGGCCGCAAGAGAGAACGCGAAGGCAGCCTGGAACCATCGCAACTGACCCCATCTCGTGAACCCATTCCGGCCAAGAAGAACCGTCTGGAGGACTCGCTGCAGGAGGAGGACGATGACACCGAAAGTCGCCACCAACCCGAAACCGAAAAGGTCGGCCAGATCCGCAAGAAAGTCGACGAGCTAAGCACTCAAGAGCTAAAGACAGCACAAACAACTTTATCCTCAGCGTCCGAACCAGCCGCTGCCACTACCACTGCCACTGCCGATGCCAAGGCCCAGACGGCAGCAGAGACCGCTTCAGCAACGGAAACAGCATCAGAGTCCAAAAAGGACTCGACTTTGGCGGACAAGCCCAGCAGAGAATCAGAACTTGTCAAAAGTTCCCAAGATCCCCCAGCTCGCACTCAACCCACCTTCTCAGCCTTCAGCTCCAAGTCGTCACCATTCAGCGCTGTCCCCTCCTCTTCTGGCTCATCCTCTTCAAGCAGCAAAAGCGGGGTTTCAGCTTTCGCAGCCAGGAGCTCTTCGCCTCTAGTTGGATCTGGCATCAAACCCAGCAGCCTCGGATCCAGCATTGGAGCTCACCATGCTGAAAACGGCTCAGCCTCTCCAGCTACCGCTACCACCTCTTCAAGCTGCTCAAAGCCAATTGCAAAAGGTTCCTCGTTCGGCTTCGGCGCTTTTGCTGGCGCCAGTCCGCTAGCCAAAACAAAAGTCCAAGCTGCAACCACCTCTGACAAAGAGTCGAAAAAGACAGAATCTTGCACTGACAAGGCGACATTCGAACAACAACTTCTCAGCGACAGCAAAGATGACACTGCCTCCTCGGAAAGCAAGTGCAAGCCATTGCTCGAAGCGCCTGAGGCAGAAAGTAAGTTTGCACACCAATCATGAGACAACTCAACCAACAGCTGCTAACCATATCCAAGCCTCGCCTCCCAATTCTCACAGCCAAAACTGGTGAAGAAGATGAAGAAAGCATCCACAGCATCCGCGCAAAACTCTATACCATGGCCGAAGACCAGTCTTGGAAGGAACGCGGCACAGGTACACTTCGTGTCAACATCCCCAAAAAACCGTCGGACAAACGCCCCGCTCGTCTCGTCATGCGAGCAGACGGCGTACTACGAGTGATCCTCAACATCTCCCTCTTCAAAGGGATGAAGTGCGAACTTCAAGAAAAGTTCGTCCGCATCATTGCTTTTGAAGACGCAAAAGCCGTACACTACGCTATCAAGGTATGTGATACCCGTCCAACCTTGACCCCTCACAAGACGCTGAAAAAGGCAACTGACACTTTCCATCCACATCTTATTTTTTTTTGGTTTGCTGTTCAACGCAGCTGAGCAACCCCAACAACGCAGCTGCACTCATGGACGTCCTTGACCACTTTGTCCTTGCGCCAGACGCATCTGCACATGCATGATTGACAATCGAAATCCACAGCAATTTAATTTAATCCACATGCATTCTCATTCTTTTGCCCATCTTCCTCAACGCTGTGTCAGCAACCCCTTTTCGCCTTTGCAATCAAGCTGTGTGCACTAGGCGTGCAAGAATCAGTGCCAGAATAACATGTCCACGCTTTCGAACGGGGCGCAAGGACAGAGACTTGGTTTGTTCAAGTGGCTTGTTTCCATGGATTGGCATTTCTTTCATCAACGAAGCGGAAAATGAGGTGAGCCTCCCGTCATAAGGGGCAAAGGTTCATGATTCTATAAACATTCGGATGTGGGGAGAGCCAGGAGACTGTGAGAGATCATTTGGCCATCTCCACAAGTGCATCGAGAAGCGCTGCTGCACTCCAGGCTTGGGTAGCGCATGAATCAGGGCAGTGAGCACCATCAGCGTTGGTGAGCTCAGGAAGACCAGCCCAGGGCGAAGCGCGAATGTGTCGACGGTGTCCCAACATCATCGTATTGATGCGGTGGTTGAGAACTGAGCGGTCGACGCCTGCCTTAGCACCAAAGATGGCCACAGCTCGCAGATAGTAGCCGCGCAGCCAGACCCATTCGGGTCCGTTATGGTAGTTCCATCCACACGATGTCCAAGGGTCGTCCGTTTCACGCTGCTCGTAGTTGGGGCGGTAGTTCCAGTCCGAAGGATCCAAGGTCTTCATTCCAAGAGGTCCAACGAGAACTTCCTTGGCCTTGTTCAAGGCATTGCATGCATGCTCGGGCTTGAAGAGCTCAGGTGCAACACACATGGCGATGGGGAAGTTGGATCGGAACTGGTAGTCGGCCCACTCACGTCCCTTAGAAGAGCCATAGACGTCCTTGTAGATTCCACGGCGGTTGACGAGCTTTGGGTCGACATCGTAAAAGCCATCCTCGCTGGCATCCAAGGGAACGTAGTAAGCACGCTCGAACGACTTTTGAACAAGGTCAGCCCATTGCTGGTAGGTGACAAGCGTCTTCTTGCCCTTGACATCAGCCTCGACACCCTTGCCCTCTTTCCAGATGCCCTTCTTCTCGAGTCCGACGATCCAGCTCAAGGTGCTCTTGAGTAGCGCAGTGATCTCGATCGCAGCTCCATTTCGTGGCGAGCCAGGCACACCCTTGTTGCCAGCCTTGGCGGATGAGCCGTTCTTGTCCTGCCATGTACCGCAGTTGTGCTCGTTGCCGCCAAAGATGATGCCGGTCTCCCAGTCGACGTCGACGTCAATGTTGAAACCCTCTGGGTGCATATCCTGATCAATGGCAGGGCCGGCGTTGTACTCTCGGAAGTGAATGCCAGATGCATGGCGCTGAAGGATCTCCTGAATCAGCTCGCCGACAGTGCTCTTGTGTGCGAATGCCTTGGGATCATCCCAAGGAACCCATTCGTCGTTGAGCGGGAAGCGTCGGGCTACCTTCTCGCCGAGGATCGCTTCACCGTTGGGCACCATCTTGGTGTAGTCTTGCACGTTCTGTGCAAAGAACCAGGGACCGTCTCGGCAATTGTATCGTGGCGTCTTGCCAGAGTCGAGCAAGTTGGGGATCATGCCATGCTTGAGAGTCGAGCCGAAGGCCAAGATGTGCTCTCGTGCATGCTCAAACATTCCAGTGACAAGGTAAAGACCACGCAAGGAAATGAAGACGTCTCGACCCCACAGTCTGGCCCACGAAGCCGCGAAGAAAGGTAAACCAGCAGCCATGGAAGCAACTTGCTTGTCGGGCCAGAGCGAGGCTGACTTGACCACGCCGTTCATCTGAACGGAGCAGAGAGCCAAGGCCTTGATGAAGTCATGTCCCTCCTTGATAATAGGGGACATGCGGGAGAGTGCCTTGCGAACAGCAGCATCATACGCGGCCTTGATGACAAGGGCAAAGTACTTGGGACGCATGAAATCGGGCGAAGTGTTCTTGATCAGATCGAAGCGCTCAGCGAGCCATTTGGCCGGCTCCGCCAAGCGATGCAAGACATTGGTCTGCTTTACCAATCTCTGATGCACGTAGTCGAAAGCCCAGGTGCCGTCACGCAGGTGAGCGCAAAGAGGGTGGCCAAGGTCGTTGGACTCGATGATGGGACGCAAGACAGCCATCCAGCCTTCCAGGCCGCAGTAGACAAAGGAAGGACCGTTGGGTATGGTGTAGACACCGTCATTGCCTTCGGTGACGTCCTTCTCCTCTCCGTCAGCGCGGTAAAGAACGGCGTTGAGGTCGACGAGATCAAGCTTGGCCATCGCCTCGTCGGCACCAGACAGGCACCTCGAATCGATGTCGCGGTCGATGTTCTCCATCTCTGTAGCAAAAAGCATCACACTGCCGGGAGGGAAGAAGTCGGGGACTACAATCTCGGAGAATCGCAGGCGACCATCTTCCTCGGTGGTCCGGACCTGTGGCTCAGCAAGGTCGATGAGCTTCGATGGCAAGCCACCGAGGTATTTCGAGTCCTGAGGAGCATCGGTGCTGACGACCTCGAGCGACTTGCCGAGAATGTAGTTGACGCGAGTTCGGTCAAGCTTGAAAGGACCTGCCTGTCTACGGTCCTTGGAACCCTTGTGGAAAGCTGTGTGTGCGAGACAGACGTATCCACGGTGAGTCTGCGGGTGGACACGATGCATGATGAGGTAGTCGTTCTCCTGGTGAACGTGTCCCTCAGAATACCCGTTGCGTACCATCTCGACGTGCAGATGGTTAACAACACGCTTGATGGCACCGATTCCGCTCTCCTCTGGGTTGCGTACGGGGCGGTAGAGTCGACTTTCCTGCACTACGTCGAGCGTCTTGGGATAGAGATTGTCAAAGCCCTTTGTACTGCCGATAGCCGACCAAGAGAAGGCGACGAGGGCACCCATGGTGATGGCATCTTCGGTAGTGCGCTTCATCGTTGGAGTCTCGTTGTCGTGTGTAACATCCATGAAAAGCGCGTGAGGGCTGGAACCGCTCAGCTGCTCGACAAGGCAGTCGGCATCCTTCAGATTGGCCTCGGGTAATGTAATCTTGGCAGCGGTGGTCAGACAGGCACCGTCCATGGAACCGATGGGCTTGTTGACACCGAATCGGTAGAGCAATCGGCTCTCCTCCTTGGGATCGTGACCGTTTTCCATCTCGCGGATAAGCGAGTTGAGACCCAGACGACTGACGAAATACACGTCCATCTCTGCGCTTCCAGTAAACAGTTCGGCGCAGACATAGAGATTGGGGTTGACTCTGCGGGCAATGTCGAGGAAATGCTCTCCAACATGAATCGGCGTCGAGTGGCAGTTGTCAATTCGAACGGCGTCAAAGTTGGCGGCGAGGAGCTTGGTGTACTCTTCCATGTGCTTCCAGAGGTAGGGCGAATCTTGTGGGCCGGAACCGTACCTGAGCTTGACGCAATCTCCCCACACGATGAGCTCTCGTCTAAGATAGACGCGCGACTTGTTGGAAGCAAAGTCTTCAAGTGGATTGGCTGCCCAGATCCAGCCATTGTTGGCCAAAGAGAGCTCCTTAGGATCACGGCCGGCGGCCTTTGGATGTTTTGGATCCAAACGGGTGAAATAGGGTTCAAAGAAGGGGCTTTTTGCAGAGATCTTTCCGAGCTTGGGGCCGTTGGAGTCGATTCTGGTGAACTTGACACGACCTTCGAGGTTGCTAAGAATAGCCTTGACATCGTCGTCGTAGGTTGCGTAGAAGGAAGCATTCACCTCGTCTGCAACCTTGGCGAAGAAATCGGCGGATGCATTGGCATCGCTGAAGCCATACTCGGACTGCACAATCTTGACAGCCTCGTTGGCATCGATGGTGGTCGCAAAGCGACCCGAGAGAGTCATTTCGTTCTTGAGCGCCGACGAGCGAATCTTGGCGGCAGCTTCTTTCAGAGTTGCGTCGTTGATCTGAGCCGCTGCATTGGAGCCAGACTGAGCCTTGTTCGATGATGCAGCGGAACGGAAAGTCTCCTTGGCCGCCTCGACATCGACGACGTAGAACTGCCAGAGCTTGAGGGGATCAAGGACGTGTTGCTTGACTGCACCGATGAGCTTTGCGACATCTGCGTCCGACTTGAGCTCGTCAGGGATGCCGAGTTCTTGCAAACGGCCGTTCAGCTCGAAGAGGGCTTTTTCGAGTTCGTCAGCGGGTTGGAGATGGGGCGAGTTGGCGGGACTGTAGGCGGCGTCAGGGTGCTCGTTAAGCCATTCACTGTTGTGAGCTGTGTGGTTCCAAACGACGTCGCTCATGCTGAGAATGCCGTGTTTTGTCTTCATGTCCTGGAGCACGGTTTTGAGCTGCTTGACGCGGTCTGCTTTCTGCTTTGCGCCTCGGCTTTGCTTGGGGAAGAGGTCGTAGGAAAAGTCATGCTGATCGCTGATGGAGTAAGGACTGTTACTAGCACCTCGCACATTGAGTGGAGGGAAGTGAATCATGTTGTAGCCAGCGTCTCGGGCCGAGTCGAGGTGGACTGCCCATTCTGACAGGGGACCGGCCCACTTAGCGATGAGAGTTTGCAGGACGATAGCGTCGAGCGCAAGGAAGTCGCTCTTTGTGCTGACAGCTCCCCCACCCTCCTTAGACGAAAGTACCTTGCCTGTATCGCTGAGAATGGGCTTACGTACGGCAGCCTGGAGGATGGGATCGACATTAAAGTAGCCGCTCTTGGCCTTCTTGCGAGCTGGCGCCTGCTCCTTTCTTTCGAAGAGGTCGCCGATCTCCTGATCCTTTCCGTCGGTGGTGTACTCGACATAGAACTCGAAAACACCAGCGGATTTGATGAGAAGATCGACTTGATTGGATGAGGATGCGGAAGAGGAGAAAGGCGTCTTTTCGAAAGAAGTGCGTTCGAAAGCATCGCGCTTGTTGGAGTAATTGGTCCAGAGGAAAGCCTCTCTTGAAGCATCAGAGCCAGCCTCGATGGAGAAACGAAGCACGTAGGGCTGGACGGGTGCCGGTAGTCTGATATAGGATCTCTGCTCGTTGGGGCTGCCATCCTGCTCTAAGACGAGCCGAAAGACCTTGACTGGCTCGGCACGGCTTCGGGCGCCGTGTCCGTTGGTAGTCACCTTTGCAGGCGACATGGTTGCACGTGTATGTGCTGCGTCTGTTGAGTCAACGAAGGCAGCGAGCAAAGACGCGAGTAGGGTTTTGTCGACTTGTAAGGCGAAGGTGGAAGAGGATGGAGAGGAAAGAAGGTCTTGTTCTTGCTAACAAGTCTTCATCTGAGTGACGAATTGCAATCAGAATCGATAGCGCGGCGATACACACTCCTCTTCTGCCCTTGCAACTGAGCCAGAGAACGAGAAGAACACGCGCACGGGCCTCCACACTGTTTGCACATCCAAACCCTCCCGCCGCATCGGGCATCGGGCATCGGGCATCGATCGGTACACATCAGTCCACCCTGCTGTATGATCGCCATTTCAGCTTCACTGCCAATGATCTCTCTTTCGGGTCCTCATTTGCTCCTGAGCACCTCTCTAACGGCTCCATTGATATCGTGCTTCTGCCTTCCGTCTGTACTGAGCCCTCCGCTTTCCGGTGTTCCTCCTCCTAGCTTTGTCATCACATCCTTCTAGATGCTGGACTGTTAAAAGACATGACACTTAGCGACACTTATCAAGCTATATCAGTCAGAGCACAGTATTGCTGCTATTGGGCAGAAACACTATAATATATTGACCTGAAACAAAAACATGGTGGCAACCCTGAGCTCTCAGCTCAATATATACAGGTGCATCTAAAATTGCCCAGCATCTTTTAGGATAATTAAATGCTCATCACCACACATCAACTTCACTTCTCAAGAGCTGGTATCCTCAATGAAGTGTAGCTTGTGACATATTGTTGGAAAGCTGAGATTGAGAGCTACAAGTACATATAGGTTTTGTTGTGATTGGACCACATTTGTGCACAGTGAAAGTGTCATGACTTTTTTTTTTTGAGTGTAAAGCTCCTCCTAAATTACTATATACTATACTTTAGTATTTTGTATGGCCCCCTTTTGCAACCCTTACAGCCTGTAATCTCCTGGGCATTGACTTTATGAGTGCCTGGACTGATTCCTTGGGAAAAGTTGCCCAAAACCTGTTGAGAGCTGCAATGAGTTGAGCTTTGTTGTTGATAGTATATCATTGTCTTGCTGAAAGATCAATTTATCCCTTGGTGGAATTCTCTGTATATTCTTCCACTTCAAGATGCTACTAGGCACCACTTCCTCCAGCAACTCAATGTAACACTCTGAATTCAGTTTGTCATCTATATAGACCATTAGACCTAGGCCTGCCCAGGTCATACACCCCCAAATCATGATGCTGTGGCCACCCCCCTGCAGTGTAGGTATATATATATCATAGTTGACATCTCTGGACCAGTATCACTTTTCCAAGCCCTTTCAAATGTGTTGAACCTTGCATTCATCACTCCAGATGACATTCTTCCATTGTTCAACAGTCCAATGTCTATACTCCTTGGCAAACACCCTCCTTGCCTTCCTATGTTTATCTGTGAGCAAGGGTTTTCTTCTTTTTGCCCTAAACTTAAGTCCAGCTCACTTCAGCATGCATGTAATGGTTTGTCTGGACAAATGAAGTTGATAGTGTTGTAGCCAGTAGGCTGAAGCTTCAGTAGCTGAATTATAAGAATCCTTGCTAATTCCTCTGGTGAGTAATGCCTGTTGGTGCAAGGAGAGGAGGAGGGGCCTCCCAGGGGTCCTTTTCACATATTCACTCTCTGGTACCCATTTTGCCAGTTCAGCAATGCTGGATTTGTTGATAGACAGTTTAGTTGCTATCTCCCTTGTTGAGAAACCTGCTTGGAGCAGCTCTTTGACCCATAATAGGTGAGTGGTGGTGTATTTAGTCCTCCCCATATTGATTTTTTGCCTTCCTTGCCATGTTGACAGCAGTATTGACATATGCTGTCCTAAGCTCATCAAAACACCCCAAAACATCTTTGTTTATATCATACTACAATCATATGAAGTTTCGAGCATGGTCTATTAGCTCAATTCTGTGCAAAGCAATAAGTTACACAAGGTACAGAATTAATTGAGGAGGAGGAGGGGCTTCAAAGAGCACCAACCTAAATTCTAGCATATTCTTTGGTGGGACCACCCTTTTTTTCTCACATATTCTGATAGCAGGCTATCCAAGCTTTGCAACCATACCACACAAAGTGGGTGTTGTCAAAGAGAACAAAGAGTACTGGTCATCATCATTAAAAGGACCTGAGAACACCATATCAAATTAATTAGATGCCAGGCAATTTCGGACACAACTGTATATACAGTGGCAGCACATCCCAAAGGTGGGAGTGTGCCTCTTAATGACAAAGTGCAACAACAAGCAGGGCCCAGCAGTATCTGATCTCTTACCATATTGGCTCTGCCCAAACTCCTCCATATCAGCTTATATTCCTGTCATAGTCTTGCTGGGTCACATTCTTCAGCACCCCCTCTTGTCCCAGCATACTCTTTCAATACCATCCAACCAAACTGTTGTCAAAGATAAAAAAGTGTTAGTGCTGTGAGTGGCTTAGTCAGGATGTTGGCAAGGTTTTTGCTGCTTTGGATTGGGCAATCATGAGACACCCATCAGCTATTTCATCCCATAGGAAGAAATGTGCAATGTCGATATGCTTTATCCTTTTGAAATGCTGCGGGTCATTGGTGATAACATGCGCAGCAGAAGAGTTGCTGTATAAGATTGGTATAGCAGGATCAGGAGCAAGATCCCCATTAGGGGGTATCAATTTTCGAGTGTTTTTAGAAACACGTGTTTCTTGATTTTGATGACTTTTTCCTGTTTTTGAACACCCCTTTTAGGAGCATCCAAAAAACATGTGTTTCTAAAAACACATCTGCAGCAAAGGTGACAATTAATTTGATATAACATGTATGTTATTAATACTGAAGCTCATTGGTATCATGTTAGCACATGTTTCACACTGTTACAGATGGTCATAGTCAATCAAGTTTTTTGTGGAAGGATTTCACTAAGTATGACAATGAACAGGTGCTAGGGATGTGAAGGTGTTGACAATTGGCAACATTGCCTGGACAACCAGCCCCATGCCAACATTGCATTGTAGTCCTTGGCTGCCCACTTGTGGCACCTGGAGCATGCAGTTGTGTCCTCCTGCTGTTGGCCAGTGGAAGTGAACAGTGCCTGAAACATTTGCTCTTGAAGGTCATGCAACAATGAACTGTGATGCCATGTCAAGGCAGGCTGCATCATGCTTTGCATATTTACCATGCTCTCCTCCTCATACTGAACTTGATTTGCCTGCTGTTGACTCTGCATGTCCCCACTCTGGCTTGGGTTGGTGCTGAGAGTCTCAACAACATCATGGACTACTTCCTTGGAGAAGGATGGGTGAAGGAGTTCAGCAACCATGTCTGGACCATTGTATTGGCTTGCAAATGTATGGGCAACAATGCATGCATGGATAGTCCTTGCTGCTGTCATACAATCCTTGATGCAATACATGCTCCCTCTGTATCCATTCAGGCACTGAAATCAATTCTTGAGGTAGGCAATGGCATGTTCAACCTGGACCTGGATGTAAGCGGTTGCACGCCTGAAACCAGATGGGGTGTTTCTGATTGATTTTGGTGAGATCAATTGAGTAAGAACTACTTGGTATGTTTTGATTGAAAATAACCAGACAGCTTCATTCTGGTAGGTTTTGGCTGACTGCCTTGAACACTCCATTCAGAGGTTGTGCAGCACATCCATTTCTTCCTGGGGAGAGTGTGTACACTCTCTTATACAGCATGAGTGTTTGTAGTACTGTTGCTTATGCTCTTGTTGTCACCTGGAATGCAATATGCCTATTGCCTACAGGAGATGGGAGTTATTGGACTGCAGGTGTTAGACACTGCCTACAATAACTGACTGGACTACAGGTGTTGAGCAACACTGCCTACAGTGAAGGACTGGACTGCAGGTGTTTGAGAGGAACACCACCTACAGTGCTGACATCCAACAGTGATGCTACACACACATTTGAGATGTTGTTGCAAAAGCTTCTTGCTATTGCAATGGTATGTAACTAAGTAAGGGTAACTAAAGTAAAGAGTAGAGTGGATGAGGATCCACTCATATGCTATGGTGAAGTAGTAGTATTTATGTGTTCAGAGGGTGTCATCCATGGCACTGCTCCTGCTCCTCTTGGAGGAGTGTCCTCATCCTCCTCCTTCTCCTCATGTGCCATTCCCCTTGACATTGCCTGTCCTCCTCATGGTACCTGTCAGGGGTCTCGCGCCTGAAACCCAGGTCGGTCTGTCGAGATACTCAGTGACTATCAAACTGTGCAACAGCTATTGTCTTGGTATCGGTCTTGACAAGTTAGTCGCTCAGCAACTATCAAGTTGCGCGATGGGTGGCGTTCGTGTATATACTATCGTAGGTTTCAGCTGACCTCTGTGGACACTCCATTCAGGGGTAGCTCAGCATGATCAATATCAATGTGTAGGTTATGATGACACCAAGGTCTGGTGTGAGTGTGGATGATGATGAGGGTGATGATGTTGGTGATAAGGTTGGTGAATGTCGATGATAATGAGGTTGATGGTGTTGGTGATGAGGTTGGTGGCATCAACACGAGTGTCCAGTGTGTTGACTTGATGCTTGAAGTGATCCCCAGACCGCAGTGGACTACTGCCTTCAGTTCTATCTATATCCGGACCACTAACCTGCTATGGGGCACCTTCAGACATCAGGTAGTGGTGATACAACACACACACTACAATGAGGAGCAACCTTGATAGATTGCTGCTATGCTGACTGAAAACTAATGAGTACTTATGTTTCTAAAGTATTGACTAGTTGTATGGTGAGTAGAGTGGATGAGGATCCACTTGACCTTTGATGATGAGAAAGCATGGTTATATACCTCTTCACAGCATCGCCAGCGATGCTGCTCCTGCTCTCTCTCCAGAGAGTACCTTCTTCATCGAGTACTGTTCAGGGGCCTCTCCTGCTTGGCACCCCTGTGCCTCTTGAGCAATGTTGACCCCTTCGACACTGCTCCTCCTCCTTGCTATCCTGCTGCTTGTTTGGCACCCCTGTGCCTCCTG